TCTGCCTTACCTGTGACATAGAGGTGGGCATAACAGGCAGCTTTGCCCAGCTTGTTGGCGATGACACTCTTGTAGACACCAGCATGCTGAGGCCCCACAGCAGGGAACACTAGGCGATGTACGTCCCTGTCTGGGGGAGGGACAGTGACACCAGAGCTGAGCTACGAAGATGCTCTGAGGGGTGGGCTCATGCTAGCCTGGGCCTGCTCACTCACGCCACCCTCCGGTGGGAGGAGGCGAGGTGGGACAGACAGGAAGGCAGCAAGAAGTATGTCCTTCACGCAGCCAGAGCTGGATCCAAGCCTGCACCTGCAGCCTGGCCCCTCTCGCTGTCCTTCCAGCACTTCAGGCCCAGCAGCTTAGCATCTTCCTTCCACACTGGGCCACCTCTGGGGTCTCTGCCCCGTGCACCGCCGCACTGCACCTCTAAGGGGTCACAGCCTCCAAGGTGAAATTGCGACGTCTTCCCTATCCCCACGGCCCCTGCCCTTTTCCCTTCTCCAGGAGAACCTGAGGAAAGGCCACATTCTCTGCTCCTCTCACTCCCAGCCACATTCACTGCTCCTCCTGTCCTGCTGACAGATTAACCCTGAACAAGCCATGTGCGTTCCATCTCCAGGTTTTTGCTTACCAAATGCCTCCCTCTGGCAGGGTGTGGTGGCACACCCCTGTAATCCCAGCACTCAGTGAGGCCGAGGCAGGAGAATTGCAAGTGCAAGCCCAGGTTGGGCAGTTTAGCAAGACTCTGTCTCAAAATAAAAAATGGCTAAGGATGTAGCTCGGTGTGAAGGCTCTGAGTTCAAACCTCAATACTGAGTGGCTGGGGGGAAGTGCCTTCCTTCAGAACGGTCCCTTACCTAAGGCTTCCTTCTACTTGAGGATATAATTCAAGCAAGTGCAGCCCCGTGAAGCTTACCCTGCTATGGGCCCAACCCCTGTCCAGTCTGTGCCCTGACTCCTTTCCTGGAACTCCAGCTGCTTAGCAGGGTGGGGGGTCCTTCTTTATTTCTGAGGAATTTTATTTATAGCTCCTGTCTCACTTGTTCCCTTAAACACAGGCCTACTTGAGTCCAGATCTGCTTGTTCCACCCAGAGCTCGGTGTCTTGTATGCAGTACCCAATTCATTATGCTATAAATTATAGTAAGCTTTGTCTGCCCTGCCTCATTCCTAGGTCTCCTCTCCCACTGCTGGGCCCTGTACCCTCTGTGCACCCCCACCAGGCCCTGCCTATGCCAGTACTTGACACCTCCCCCATTTAACAATGCTACAAAATTATCCCCATTACCAGTGAGGTCAGAGATATTAATTGACTTGTCCAAGGTCACACAGCTAATAAATGAAGCCACTGCTTGAACTTAGTTCCATCTCATTCCAAAGCTCTCTCCTTACACCCTCTTCCCTGCAGGATAAGAAGGCTGTCTCTAGGGAGGACATGAAGAGGAGGAGACCTGCAGTGTCCTCCTTCACATCAGGAATGTCACCAAACACCCCTCCCTTCTCTTAGCAGTTATCTCTGCATAAGACAGCCACCCATTCATTTATCTCTGTTCATGCTATTTATAAGGGAAGAGCAGCCAAAAGCCGCCAGTGACCCCAGATACCGGCAGAAGCAGAGACGCCAGCTCAGATCCTGAGACAAACACCCACCCAGGGCCTCAGAGCAGATGGGGAGACAGGGAGGTCTGGGGCTGAGCAATCCCAGCTGTAGCAGGGGGCTGAGGGCAAGAGTCATAGCCCTAGCGCTGGAGACGGAGTGAGGGCGAGGTCAGGAGCCTGGGCATGGGAAGCTGGGAACATCCTTTGGAGATGAGCATGAGTCAAGCAATCCTCACTTGCCTTTGAGCAAGTTGCTGTACCTCTCTAAAGCCTCGGTTTCCCCATCTGTAAACAGGGCTGATAGTATCTACCTACAGGCCTGCAGAAGGGAAGATTATCCACATCAGCTTGCTAGCACTCAGAATCTGGCACTTAGAAAGCACATACAAGGGGACCTTGGTCACTTGCAGCTGTGGGAGGAAACCATTAGGGGTGATAGTGTGGCCACGACTTGAGGGAGGCAGGTGGACCTCACACGAGATTGAGATTCAGATTCCTTCGAGATGTTCCCTGGAAACAAGCCCCAGGCTAAAAAGGACACCAACCCAAATCTGCACCTTTGCCTTTCTTTGACTTTCTTCCTCATTTGCTGAGAACCCAGACAAGCATCCTTTTCTGGCTGAAGCCAGCCTATCCCAGCCCTCCCTGATCTCCCTCTGGAATACAGGCAGTACTGCTTCATCACAGTGAGGACGGCCCAACAACAGCAAGAGCATAAGGCCTAGAATTCTCTGGCCACTTACTGTCTGCACGTCCTGCTTTTGGAGCTTTATCTGTATAAGCCGGCCTAATTCTCCTAACAACTCCACGGCAGGACTGCACTGACTGTCCAGTAAGGCCCACCAGAGCCACCAGCGGGTGACTGCTGTATGGGCTCAAGGAGGAATACAATGACCTCATGGGCCCTGAGACTTCCCTTTCCCAGGAACCCCATCTCCAGCCAGGCTACAGAAAGAAGGCCCTGAGGGAGCCTAGGGAGAAAGGACACGTACACTGTGTCATGCGCCGGTCATCGCTGCTCTGGATGCGGTGACCATTGTGGAACCAGCTGATGGTCGGATAGGGCAGGCCAGTCACCTGGCACTCCAGCATGGCCTCCTTAGCCAGTCCCACCTCCAGGTCCTGTAGTGGCCGCAGGAAGTCAGGAATGGACAGCCGCTCCAGCTCACCCTGCTCCGGCTCCTCAGGGATGGATGGCATCTTCTCCAGCTTTGAGCTGTAAGGACCACACAGCTGTCCACAGGTGCAGGGCTGCACCTCCCAGTGCAGGGCAGGGGCCCTTCAGAGAGGGTGGAGCCCCTCAGTAGCAGTGCCCAGCAGCACCTGGGGCTCCAGGTGGTACCTGGGGCCTGAGGCAGCTGTCCTCGGCTCCTCCACATAGAGCTGCGCGGAGCAGTGGGCCTGGCCATGTGTGTTAGTGGCACTGACTGCATAGAGCCCCTCGTCCTCACTGCTCACGTGGGCAATGTGCAGCGAGTGCAGACCCCCATCCTGCCGCAGCCGCAAGTTGTCGCTTTCCTCTACCTGGCGGCCTAGGGGCAGGGGGGCAGAGATGTAGAACAGGTCCTCAGAAAACACCCCATCCTGGTCTGGGTCCATGAGGGTCTCCCACCATCTGCAGGGTGGGGAGGGCACATACCAAAATGAGTCCAGAAAACAGAAGGCGGTGGAGTGCCGCTGATCTTACAGTCAAGGCGGGCAGCGCGGCCCTCTAGCACCTCCACGTCTTCCAGCAGCCGGGTGAAGAGGGGCGCCAGGGAGGGCCGCACAGTCAGCCGGGCACTGCAGGTCAGTTCATCTGAGGGGTGGGGAGGCAACACTGGGTAGAGAAGGCCCCACAGGCCCAGGTACCCTACCTCTTAGATCTTGTCTAAAATTAGGGAGCCTGGGCAGAGCCTAGCCAAGACTCTGAGCATGGACAAGGCAGTGGGCAAAGATCCATCTATATGCCAGGTCTTCTTTGGAGGTAGAGGTCAGCAAAGGCAGACAGGAGGCTGCCAAGGTAAGAAGGATCCCCACAGCAGCCCAGGGCCTAGCCCAGCCCTCCCTGACCTCATTCTCATCCTAGAAACCAAACCACTGCTTTCCCCATGCCCCGATTCTCAGAACTCTCCTCTGCACCCAGCTCACGCCCCTGCTCCCGCTCCCGCCCATCTGTCCCACAACCACAGCAGATGCCCCTTGTCTCCACTCTGACCCCCAAGAAAAAACTTCTGGAGCAGCTAACAGCCCCTGGGCTGACCAAAATGATTCTTCCTGCTCCCTAAGCCCCTCCAGCATCAGGACTTGGAGAGGGGGGTGCCATTATCTCTGTGCTTATGTGAGGACAGGGCCAGGTCAGAGATGTCATCAATAGTAGCAGCTGGCATGTATTAGGTGCCACCCTTCGCCAGGCTCTATGCTGTTTTACACTAGTTATCTCACTAATCCTGCCTATCTCCCTACAAAGCAGGTATTAGCATGGTTCTTTTTTTTACAGATGAGTAGTCTAAAGCTCAGACAGAGGAAGTGACTTGTGCAGACACTGGCTGGAAACTTGCAGGGCAAGAATAGGAACCCAAGTCCTGGTTTGCTTGCTACATCTCAGGGGACTTGCTCACTTGTGGGAACAGCAGGTATGAGAACAGCACTCTCTATACCAGGTACTACTCTAAGTACTCATTGTTTTGAGCTGGCATCCTGCACTGTTTCTCACCCCGCTGCACTTCCCCTAGGAGTCGGAGACCCACTACCTGGGCATCTCAGTCTGCACCCAGCTCTTGTACCTCTAGTCCCCTCCCTTTGCTCTTGGACACCCATGGCAGCCCGAGGGCCTGAGTGAGTAGTTACCTTTGGCTGTGCTGAGCTTACACGTGTAGACACCACTGTCATCCTCATGCACAGAGGTGAGCAGCAGCTTGCACTTGCAGCCGTCAAAATGCATCTTGCATTTGAGCAGTGCTGGCTGCAACAGGCGGCCACGGCACAGCCAGTCCACCTCCACGTCGGCAGGACCTGCCACCAGGCACTCAAACAGCGCCATCTCCCCGGCCCCCACGTCCACGTCCTGCAGGGGGGCCAGCACGGCCAGGGACCGGCTTTCAGGGTGTGCTGGGGGAAGGCAGCCACAGGGGGGACACAGAGCAGAGACGCACAGGGTGAGGGAGACACACACACGCACACACAGAGAGACAGACAGACACAGAGAGAGAGATGCATTTTGTTTCTCTGGAGATGGCGGAAGCCCGCCCACCCACCCATCCAGAATAGTAAGGAAACTTTGGTCTGGCTTTGAGATGGACCCCAAGCTGGCCCCAGGGAGGGAAAGCTCATGAGTGGCGAGAGGGAAAAGAGGGAGGGGCACCGAGAGGACCGTGTGGTAGCAGTGACCGGCAGCAGAAAAAAAAAACACAGCACACCAGCTGGGTACAAACTGGACTTTATTTGAGCTTAGAAATAGTGTTTCTGAATACCTCCTCCCCCACTATGGCCCCACTCCTGCGCCAAGCCTGGCTAACTCCCTCATTCCCAGACAGAGTAGCCCCCGCCCTGACCTTGAATGAGGGAGTCCCTTCTGGGCCCTAAACCCACCAGGGCCAGGGCTCAGCCCTAGGCCTCTGACTTTTGGTCGCTTGTGGAATAGAAAGTGTTGTGCCATTCAAAACTCCTTTCTGGAATGGTCAGTGCCCTGCTCCCTCCCAGTGAGTCCCCTGGCCACAGCCCCTGCCCGCTGGGCTCCTCCACCCTGTGGGTGCCATGCCTTCTCCTCTCCTGTGGCCTCACCTCACCCCAGATCACAGGCATCCTTCCCTGACTGTCACAGACACACAGACAGACAAACGGAGAGACAGACAGTGGCCTGCAGCAGCATAGCACATGCACTCGCTTGGTGCTCCCCACGGGCTTGACACCCTTCATGGCCACCCCTTCGGCACTCGGTCCATCTGGGGGCCTCCTAGCCACATGTCCACTTGGGGAGGGAAGGTTCTTAGGGGCCCGTGGGCTACCCCGGGGTGCTGCATGGGCTGGGGAAGGGAGGGGAGGCTGGGACAGGTCCGGGCCGGCGGGCCGGCTGGGTCTGTGGGCAGGAGGCAGTGAAACACAGCGAGGTCCGAGAGGTGCCTGAGACAGGGGCGCAGCTCGGAGGGTAGCGGGAGGAGCGCAGGCGGCCCCCTGAGCTCACTCGCCTGTATACAGACAAAAACCTCAGTCAGCAAGCGGCAGGTTAGTGCAGCGCACGCACACGCACGCGCACGCAGGCACACGCACGCACGCACTGGCACACAGACCTGGCTAGGGCCCTTCGGGATACGGAGCTGCCTCTAACACTGCAGGCAGCACTGCCGCTTTCAGTTCCCCCAAGGCCAGGCCTGGGATAGGAAGGCCATCGGCTAGCCAGAGGCCGGGTCCCTCGGGTTCTTGGGCAGCAGAGACCCAGGGCAACCAGGGGAGAGGCGTTCACAGGCATCAGGAGCACCCCGAAGCCTGCAGGATGTCGGGAGGAATCCCAAAGAGAAAAGCATCGAGACATGGGTTAGCACAGAGAAGCGAGGCAGAGCTGGACCCTGGAGGAGGAGGAGCAGGCCAGGGATGGGGACTGAAGGACAGAGACCAAGAAAGGTGGCACCCACAGGAACGAGCGGCACCAGGGAGGTGAGGCGGGTGAGGAGGCCTGGCAGACCATGACTGCAAGCGCCGAGGGTCATCTCAGGACGTTCCCAGAGCTGGCCTCTGCCAGGCGAAGGGACTATACCTCGTGAGAGACTGGGAGGGACGATGGCAAAGTGAGGAGCTGAGGAGAGGTCCCTGGCTCTCAGCCATCACAGAGGGAGCGGAGAGGACAGCGGCCTGGATGGGCCTGTCATCCCCACGCCTAAGAGGGCCCTGCGTTATGTCCCCAGTCCTGGGGGCTCAGCTCTCTCCACATTTCAGGGATGTGCTCACCCTGGGACCCCTGGCTCCCTACAGTGCTCCAAGCCCAACTCACCCCCAAGGGCCCTCCGAACGGGTCCGACACTCCCCACTGTCCCCCCGAACCACGGGTGCTGCTGCACAGCAAAGGGGAGTAGGGAGGGCGAGGGCGCAAGAGGAGGGCAGGAGTGGGTATGTGCGAGGGCTGGGCACAGCATGGAGACAAGGCTGAGGAGGGTATGAAGAGAGCACGGCGGGCCGTGTGAAGCAGGGTCCCTGGCTCGCGTCAGGGGCTGGCATGATGACACATGGGGAAGGCAGTACTGTGTAGTAAGGTAAGTGTGGAACAATTTGCTCTGTGACTCTAGGCAAGCTGTTTCTTCTCTGGACCTCAGTTTACTCAATTCTAACATAAGCGGCCGGGCTAGGGGATGGCCCAGCCCTTAGAGTGTGGCATCCTATAACAGAGGCTGGGTGAGAGCTGTGGGTAGGTGGGCATGGGGCCAGGTGGGGGCTGTGAGGGCGGGAGGCTCTCACCTCGGACCTCCAGGCGTGCCTCGCACTGCCGAGCGCCATACTCGTTGACTGCTTTGCAGGTGTAGAAGCCCGCGTCACCACGCTCTGCTGCCAGGATCCGTAGCCGGCACAACCCACCCTCTGCCTCCTCCGCAAAGCGCCGCTGATCTGGTCGCACGGGCTGGCGGTTTCTCAGCCTGTTAGAGGACAAGAACTCAGCCCAGAGCCCTGGAGCCTGACCCACAGGTATAGCAGAGAGAAGCTACAGAGCTACACAGGTCTCTCATCCTCCACACTGTTCCTTTGCTCCCCAAATCTGTCCCACTAACTCGGGCACCCAGGGATTGCAGGGTGAGGTCTTCACGCTTACTCCACCTCCATGCCCCACCTAGAACTTCCAGAACACAGCAGCTCACCTGGACTCTCTGCCCAGAACCACTGCATTTGGAATAGAGCCTTGCTATTTAGCTCTGAATTGTTCTTAATTTCTCCCATCTTATTGTTATTTATCTACAATGGAAAGATAGCTTTTCTGCTTCCCAAAAGGGACATGAAAGAATTTACAGTGTTGAAAAAAAATCACAGTGGAAACCAGATAATCAATTAAAAATGAACCATGGAACCCAATCCAACAGCAAAACACACTGAGCAGTCAATGTTCCAGGCCCCCAGGATGAGCAAGGCACCACAGCTAAGACCCACATTTAACTCTGGGTTTCCAGGAGCTCAGAAACAAATTGTGATGATCAGGCCCAGCACAGCACTGGGCACAGAGTGGGCCTCAGAAGTCACCCTGCCATCAACTGTGGGGTAGGGTGAGGGGACTCCCGGCCACTCATCCCAGGTGGGTGAGTGTGAGAGCATTTACTACCAATCTCTCCCCAGAAAGGCCCTGAATGAGCCTTGAGCACCAGACCAGGGACAGGAGTGTAGAGGGGAGTGGTACCTGAGACAGGGCTGCCCCAGAAGTCCTCCAAGGCTCCACTCCACTCCAGCGAAGCCAGCTTATGGGCCCAGGCTGGGGTAAGGGTGCTGGTAGGAAGGTGAAGTGGCTGCTACTCACCAAGAGACCACAGGCTTGGGCTCTCCCTGCACACGGATGCTCATGATGACATCTTGGCCTTCTCTTACTGACTGGTCCATAAGTGAGACCTGAGGGGGACCCCAAAGCATCAGGGGTGACAGTCAGGGTACAGCACTGCCTCCTGAGATGGGGGATCAGGATAGAGGTCTCTTCCATACCAACCACTGAGGCTGGTTCTGGATAAGAAGGGTTAATGGGGTAAAGTTCCAGGTCTTGCTGGAGCCTAAGCATGGCCCTAAGAATAAGGGGGCACACAAAGGAATGGGGGCCTATAGGGGTCTGGACACCAGCCTCAGGGGTCTGACCTTGAAGGTGGGGGGCGCCTTGGAGCCAGTGTCAGAAGAATGGCGGTTCTGGCTGGGACTGAGCTTCATGGTGGGGGTTTGGGGCCAGGTCTCCCCAGGTTCCGGGAACTCCTCTGGGGGGCTCAGGTACTCCTCATCAGAGGTGATGGGGCTGCTGAAGGGGGATGTGGACCCACCTGGAGGAGAGACAGAGAGGATGCCAGGGGAGGGAGGGGCAGAGGCCAAGAGAGCAGGCTAGGATGTCCCCCCAGAGCCCAGAGTGAGTGGAGAGGGCTCCTGCAGGCCCTGGCTGACTTCACCTCCTAGGCTCTGCTCACTCGCTGTGTGACCTTGCCCAGGCGCTTCCTCTCCCTAGCCTCTGATTCCTCATCTGCCACAGCCACTGCCAACAGTCACCCTGCTCATCCTCCTGGGAGGGGACCTCACCAGGAACGGCCTGATGCAAAGGACTTGGCCAGCAAAGGGGTTTAAGGGGAACCTGGAATTCCACTGGTCAGGGCACCCACACTCCTGGCATGGACCAGGGGCCCAAAGTACCAATCACAGACTCCAAAAGCAGGAGGTGCTCATCTCCGACCCTATGGCAGCAGAGCCCAGACACCCATTTCTCAGGCGAGCTGGGTCTGGTATGCAGGAACACACACCTCTGATGAGCCCCATCCTGACCTTGATCCTGGGCCAGTGAGGCAGCACTGTCCAGCCTGCCCTGCCCCCTCTCCCTTCTCAGCTTCCTGCCATAGACACCCCAGGGGCTGACCTGCTGACCCAAGCCCCATAGCATGGACCCCAAAGTCTCAGGAGTAGGAAAGCAGAGCTAGAGTCACCCACAGAGAGGGCAGCCTGGAGAAGAAGAGGGGGGCACCAGAGTCTGCCTTGGGGGAGGGGAGTCCCCAGGGCCCTGACGCCCTCCCCTGCAACTGGCCAGGGGCCCAGCCTCACAGAGCTGGCTCCTATCCGACTGCCAAATACAGACATGAATCTGCCACAACCCCCTGGCCCCTCCTCCTGGTTCCCCCACCCAAAGCCCCCAGAAGAGTTGCACCCCAACTCACCCTGAGACTCTGTACACGGACCCCAGCCTGTACCTTCCTGAAGGCTCTGCCCTGGCACCAGGCCTTCCTGCTGCCTGTCCACTGCCCACCCTGCCTTGGCTCCCCCGGGAGCACGAGCCCAGCCTGCCCAGCCCCACTCACTCGCTGACCCAGAGGCCCGCACTGAGCTGGCCCTGGGGGAGGGGAAGGAGCTCAGGAGGGGAGGGGGTGGGGGTGGCCAGGGAAAGGCTGGGTGGCAGGCAGGCAGGCAGGCGGGCAGGCAGGCGGGCAGGCAGGCGCTGGGCTGGCTGGGAAGGTGGTGCCTGCTGAGACCACAGGCAGCCAGCAGGAGCAGAGGGGGAGTGAGGGAGGGGCAGAGCCCAGCCTGGCTGAATTTAGCTCATTCCCAAGCAGCGGCCTGCCTTTCCTCTCCTTATAGCTCTGACACTGACTAGAGCAGAGCCTCTCGGCGGAGCCTTGACTACGGGTCCTCTGGCCCCAGAGGAAGAGAAGAGCGGGCTGGCAGTGCACTATAGTATCCAAGACTCTTGCCTGACCCACCAGGCAGCCTACCAAAGGAGGTAAGGATGGCAAATGGCCCAACCTGTGCCTTGTCCTGACCAAACCACCAATATCCCATCCTGGGAAGGAACTGAACAGTCTCAAACACTAGAGCCAGGCCACAGCCTGCTTTATCTGGCGCTGCAAACCAGACCTACCAGGACCTTCAGCCTCCCGCCAGAGATGCCTTTCCAACCTCAGGGGGCCCAGAGCTCCACCTCTGCCAACTGAGTCTTGCCATAGCAGGTCTGGCCCAGCAGCCAGCCCAGGACATAAGCCTGTACTTAACCCAGCTCTGTGGGGCACCTGCTGGCAGTCTGCCATTCACCCATCAGCCCCACCTCGGCCAAAGATAAAGAAACCCAAGGGCTGCTTCACCCCCAGCAACCCCTCTTAACTGGCGCCCATTTGCATCTGGGCTGGGGAAGGGGTTGTTAAGCAGGGGTCACATGTCCTTCTCCTTCCTCCTACCCTCTCACCCCGCCCGGGGCCACATTCTCAAGCTATGACCTGTGTTTCCCAGCACTGCCCAGGAAGGAGTGGCTGGGGCCAGGCAGAGGAGGGGCCCTCCATTTGGGCTGGCTGTCCTGAGGTTTGGGTGGGGAGGGAGTCAGGGCACTTGGTGCTGGAGGCTTGGCCCCCAACTGACTCTGAGACTGTCCCCATGGAGCAGGGACACCTACTCCAGGGTCACCTCCAAGCTGGACAGGCCTGAGGTGGCTCTGGAGCCCAGGATTGGCCAGCTTTGCAGGGGGCATCAGAGACCCCTGGTGGTGGCTGGGGGAACAGCACTCCAGAAGAGTCCAGTCACCCAGCAGCCCAAGTCCTCAAGCATTTGGGAGACAAGAACTGTCAACGCAGCCAGGCAGGAAACTGAGGCTTCACAGTGGCAGAACAAGGCCTCCTTGAGATAAGACTCTGCCAAACTCCCCAACTATGTGGTCGAGGAGATTGACGGATGATTCTAGGGCTCCACCAAGGCTCTGGTGCCACCTACTCATCACTGTCCCACTGTCAAAACCATTTTAATAGCCAGTCCCTAATATTCCAGCCCTGCTCCACCCACAAACCTGGTTCACACGATAGAAGAAACAGTCACACCACCCAGGAAGTGGGGAGCAGGTACTCTCAAACCTATACCATGGAAGAACTACCCCTTCGTACTCCCCCCGCCACTCCCATGAGGACTCTATTGGTCTTTTCAACGCTGCTCCCTGATCAAACCTGCTTAAGGAATGCACAGGCATTACAGAACCTATGAATCAGGAAACTGTCCCTCCCCAGGCCAACAAGCACATCCGATTGGTCCTGACATTCCAACTGTCTCCAGTGTCCCCTGCCATGTTCTCATCCTAGCGATAGCTGCAGCCACCTGCCAGTATGTAGTAGATAAAAGGCATCACACGAAGCCCTTCATATCAGGACTATCAGAATGATCCTTGAACCGCCCACATCAGGACCAGCTGGAAACTTCTTTGACGTGCCGATTCCTGAGCCTTACCTGGCCCACAGAATTAGACTTTCTGAAATTTTCAAAAGCACCCAGGTGATTCTTATGTACATGGAAACTTAGGGACCACTGGCAATTCTCAAGGAGGCCAACCATAAGAGATGGTTTCACCGAGTGCCACACCCTTGACCATTCGCCTTCAGAGCAGGGCTTTGGACTGAGGAGGTCTAACTCCACAGTTCATGTGCTTCCAAAATGCACCCACAGGCCTCACATCTTGAGCCAGGTCTCTTAGCTCCCTGGCAGTGGTTTTCAAACTTTACTGTGTCCTGGAGTCACCTGGAAGGCTGTCCTTAGCCCACAGACTGTCGGGACCCACCCTAGATTTGGAAATCCGGTAGGTTGGGGCTGGGGCTGATGGTCTGGATTTCTAACACACTCCATGGGGATGCTGAGGCTGCTATTCTGAGGGCCACACCTTGAAGACCACCGCTCCATGGTCTCTTCTGTCATCCTGAACTCTACTCTTGGGCATCAACTCATTACCCTTTGCAGCTGGGTGCCCCATCCAGACTCTACGTGTT